TGGGGAACACCTGTTAATATGTTTTGAGAATGATATATTCCCGATTTGAGCCTAACCTTAACAGATTGTGATCTGCCAGTCAGATAAGTCTTAATCCATTTTAGACTTTGGCTGCGAACTCCAATATCATAAAGTTTGCGAGAAGAAGTTGATGGTATCAAATGCACGTGACACATCAAATAGAATACTGATCGATTTTTCGCCATTTTCAAATTTTATTGACCAGAGAAAGAGTAGCATATTGAGTTGATAAACCAGATTGGAATCCATATTGGCTCTTTGCGAGTAGGTTATACTTTTTACAGAAGGATACAAGTTTGTTTAGATAGGATTTTTCGATAATTTTTGAAAATGAAGACAGCAATGCAACACCTCTGTAGTTGGTGAGTAGGCGCTTATCATTTTTCTTGTGAACAGGAACTACAATAGCATGTTTAAGACACAAGGAAAATGAACCCTCAAGGAAAGAGAGATTAAGTAGGTATGTAAGTGGTTCAACATTCCGCAACATTCAACAAGACTCTGCCTGGTAATTCATCAATGCCACTAGACTTCTTAGACGATATGGACTTGCTGATATCAGGAAGTTCAGTTTCGTCTAAAGGATGAAGAAAAAAAGAGTTTGTTTTTATATCGTGATGATGTTCACCAGCAGGCTCAGTATCATTGATTAGAGAAATTACAGAGTCAATGAAATAATCATTAAAGACTTGAGGAATTACAGGACCACCGTGAAGCCGAGTTCCATAATCAGTTTCAAAATAATTCGGCAACTTTGGATTTGTTATCAGCTACAAGAAATTTGTTACTGAAGTAATCTTTTTTTGAATGGTCAATTTATTTTTCTATGATTCTTCAACATAATTTTGTATTGCTCATTAACGATTTCATCACATTGAGTTCTGTTCAGATTAAAAACATCACGAAGAAGTATAGGCTCAGTGTCATTCATCCTCTCAACACGGATATACACACCTTAGGATTAAGCCATCGTTGGGATGCGATTCAGTTAGGGAATAACAGAACCACAAGTGATTCTGTCATTCCGGTATCCAGCGGGGCTACGTGGAAGCAGGCATCCGATGGCCGGTTTGCTCAACCCCCACATCCCAAGTCAATGCACTCGCCAAAAGCAGCAGGCAGTGAAAGATGAAAAGGGACAGCCAATCCGCCACACACAGATACAAATAGGTGTAGTGGAACGACTGGGGAACGACTGTAGTGACGACTGGGGATTGAACAGAAATGGAGGATGTAATAATACTTAAGAATTAAAAGCACTTCTCATTGAAGCTTACGCATAGTCAATTCGATACAACTCACCTCAAACCAGGTCAAACATCAATATTTGTTATAAATATCTTTGTTGGGCAACCTAGGGCTTTCAACACTTCAAATCCTTGCATCAAAAGTAATTCTTCAATCTAATTTACGCGTTTTTAGGTTCGCTGTATTTTTTTATCCAGTTCAAAAACTTTTAACGTTATGTTCTTGCATTTTAACACTCCTACGGACATCTCTAGGCGAAACGTTCCTTTTAGAATTCGGAGGTCAGGTTAGATGTTGAGGGAAGATAGTTTTTACAAAAGTAAATATTCAAAAATACGATTCTTTTAGAGTTTGGAGGTCAGGTAAGATGTTGAGGATACATAGTTTACTTCTAAAGTAAAGTTAGACTGAGTTNTTCATATAAACATGGGTCCGTTAGAATGAGTTAGGTTAGGTCGGGTTAGGTTAGGTTGAGTTAGCATGTGACAAATTATGGAATTTCAATCTAATTTCGAAAAACTTGACAATACGTGAATGAAAACGGATAGAAAAAAGTGCGATGATATGGAAAAAGATGTGTTGAATAAAGAATATGTGAGTTTCAAACGTTTATTGCTTAAAAAAAGGTAAAATATGACATCATACAAACTTTAACAGGCTATATCTCGAAAACTAATTGAGTCAGACAAAAAATAAAAAGAATTCTGAATTCCTACCATCACGTGTAGTATCTATCACCATAGAAAAAATCGCGAAAATCCGTGAGTATCCCATGAAGTAAAATTTAGCCTGCATCGTGATTTTAATTTGACAGATGTAGCTTATTCAACAAGATGGCCGTTATCAATTGTCAAAGTTCTACTAGTTGGAAGACCCTTTAGATAGATAGATATATTGAATTTTTTGAATTGAACATATGAAAACTCAAGTCAGTAAGATATAAATATATAAATGTGAAATATAACAAAAGAGTATCACAGATTTATCAATTCGTGTGACTACATATTTGTATAACTGAGCGTGTTAAAAAAGAAACATGTAAAACAGATATAAACGCATTTGTCTGAGAGATATAAGCATTAAAATACAATAACATTGCCTATGTCATGTCTATAGTTGTAAAGATTATGGAAATTACCATAAAAATTCTTACACAACAAATCGGAAACTAGATTCTCAAAAGTATGCTGTCTGTATTCTTCTGTGGTTGTCAGTGGTAAATGATGGTATAATTTGATGGCCATATAGCGTGGACCTCTTTATGCATTTCTTAGTCCATGTTTCTGAAGAATGATGTTCCTGTTATGTCTAGAAAGTACTCTTGAATATTTTTATGAATGGTGAAATTTTCAGTATTGTCATTCACCAAATAATATAAATCCCATACATAGACAGTAATTTATAACTATTGAAAATATTACAAAAGTCTGTGAAGTTCATGTTCAGCATACTCTTTATTATACATGTTTGCATAATGAAAATGCAACTCAAGTGAGTACTTCCACCCCCGAGCATGACTCTGTATTTAAGGAACTGATAGATAGTTTCATAATATGCTGTTCTTAGTGCAGCTGTATTCAAGTGACTTATTAAAATTCTAATTGCATAACATTTGCTAGCAAGTTTAACCATTAGATGCCCAATATGGTTTTTGAATTTGTAATCTAGATAGACCCCTAACATTTTTGTACATTATTCCGTGTTAGGAATCACACGTTCAATACAGTGTCCCACTCTTTATTTTTTGAACAGGTCATCTCAAAAAATTGAAACTTGGGATAATGAAATTAATGCATGAATAGTTTATTTTGAAGTGAAATTGATAGAAGAAACTTTCAAGATGGGAACTGGGCGCAATCTGGGGAAAAAAAATAAATGGAAAAGGGGGTCTTGTGACTCATCATTTTGAAGCTTCTGACGACTTCTTCACAACCCTAGAATATGAAGTAAATATCTTCACCTACTACAAAATGGCGGAAAAATTCTCACAGATTAGCATGAGTCCATTCGTGTATCAAAAAATAAATCAAAATCATTGTGACAAAAGATAAAACGCCCGCGATAAAACCTTTAACCGTTTCAACAACTATTTCATTAGCATTTCCGTTCTGATTTCAGAAACTTTCCAGTTTCTCTAAGATGTTTTCTGGCTATAGTCACGCAAAAATATGTTTGGATGCCACTAAATATAAACGTTTGGGCTCCGAAGAACTCAATAGTAAAATCATTACAGAAAACTACGCTATTCAAAAAACAGAAAACAATTCTGGTTGAAAATTAAAGATTTATCTCTATCAAATTTATACTTTCTTAAGACACCGAGATTTTTTTAATGATTCGCAATTTGATTTTTGCAGAAATCATTCTACTACTTGGGCTGCCCTCAATGTAGTGATAAATGTAGTCGAGGGCCTTGAATAAGGTAATTACACTAGTTATGCTTAGTGACTTATCAAAAAATCAGAGAACAGACTTCCAAACGTGACAATTTCTGTCTTGGGACACCTATTTTTCGAGCTTTTCGACTTTTCCAATACGTTTTATTCCATTAAAAACCGCATGGGAGCTGACGCCCACTTCTTCCGCCATTCCATGCACCTTTTGTGATGGGTCAATCTCCACCAAGGTCCTCAAATCCTCGTCCTGGATTACTTTAGGTCGACCAGTTCGAGGCTAACCTTCGAGGCAAAAATCTCCGGAACGAAATTTCGCTTGACTAACGTCAAGCAGTGCGTACGTTAACACTATCATCGTCAAATGCTTGGTTGATTTTGCGGGCTGTTTCGGCAGCGCATTGGTTCAATTTGAATTCGCAGAAAAAAATTGCCCGAAAAGCGCTCAACGACATCATCTGGTAATAAGCTGAAAAAAGACAAGAAATTGAAATTAGGAAATAAATGAACATGTATGTATAGATTATAAAATTCTCTAGGGATCAGTATACAGTGCATTTCTTTAATGCCCCCCTCTTTATTTTATGAACGGGTCAACTCAAAAATTAAAATTTGGGATAATGAAATACTTCATTTTGAAGTGAAAGTGACAGATGAAACTTTCAAGATGGC